AAGAGAATTTGATTCACAAAAGGAATCAAGCATATTCTGAAAAAAAGATATGATTATTAAGATAACAATAGATATTAATACAATTTCTTCCAATATAACATATACTATACTATTTGATAATTTTATTAGCACAATCCAAAAGAACACTATTGACAAAATATATAAAGAACAGATATTATATAATAAATATTGTATATTATAAACAACTCTATATTAGATAATACTATTATAATTGAAATACATAATATTAGAGATATTAATATTAATCATAATCAATAAAGACTAATGCAAGAACTTAATATAAATATTCTAAGGGTTTGAGAAACTAAGCTAATAGAAGAAATAATAAATTTTGCTTTTAATCTATAACAAATATATAAGTTCTTTTACAACTGTAATAATGAAAAGCTCAATGTGATTTCTTATTAATAGAAACATTGAGAAAAAACTATAATCAATTAAGAGAATAGAAAACTATATAATAGGAATCAATTTTCTATCAACAAGAAGTAAACTCTATATCTATTAAGTATATCTGCCATTTGAAAAAATTAAAAAAGGCAACTACAATAGTTGCTTCAAAATAAAATTCTAAATAAGCAAAGAAATTACTTTATAGTTATAATTATGAGTGATTTTAATATAGTTATTAATTCAATAATGGATTGATTCATATTCACTAACAAAACAATTTCAAGATAAAGAAAAGATAAGATAGGTTGTTTCAACTTTTTAGAGACTGAAATTATATAAATATTCAAAACTTCTGAAAAGTAAAAGTGAATATTATCTTTATATGGGCAAACAATTTAATATATAGTAAAATTAATTATATCTGAATATTATTAGAAATTGGTTTAAACAATACATACAAATTTAAAAATATTCCAATAAAGATACTATTGAAAATAATTACACTCTATTGTTAAAACTTAAAAGAGTGATCTGCAGTAATAACTTGTAAGCAATGATATTAAAAGTTGGAAGGGTTTTCACTTAAACTTCTAATGAAGTGATAAATCACTCTCAAAATTGCATTTAGAGTAGTAATTACAAAGATAAGTGAACTATTTAGTATTTTTTAGCTTTAGCGATTTATATTATATATATGGTTTACAAATGTTTAATAAAGTACACATAACTAGTCTAATAAATAATAAATATATATATTAGATCTGTGAGTTAATAATATAATATAATACTTTTACATTATTAAGTATTATTTTTAATTTTAATATTATTATAAAAAAATATTATCTAAACTTAGGTAATATAAAAAAATCTCATTTATTTTATGATAATAATCTAGCTACCACCAATTAAAATCTTTTTTAATAAAAATTTAAAAAAATTACAAGATATTTTAGTTAATTTAACATCAAAGTTACTTTGTTACAAAATAGATTTAATAAGCTTTGATAGATATGTTAAAAATTTGAATACTAAAAAAAAAGAAAATTTAATAGTACCTAAATACATTAGACTAGAAGAAAAATTACAATCAATATAAATTTGTTTAGGATTTTTATAAAATAAATTATTCATCAATATAAAATAATAATTATAATAAATCTTTTACTTCAAAGATTGAAAAAATCTTTAGATATTTTATAATCAATTGTTTTTCTTTTGAAAATTTTCTTGTTATTAATATCAAAGGTGTTAATTGACTTTTCTTAATTACTAGAAGTCAAGTTTTTTGAATAAAAAAGTTTGCAAACAATAAAAAAAGTGTAAAAATGACTCGTGAAGTTAAATTTCAAGTTATTTTAAGAAAAGTATTAAGACTTTATTAGCAAAGAAGTAAAAAAACTTCTTGTAAATATCTTTTTTAATGTGATTAAAGTATTAGTAGAAAGGACAAAATAAATTAGTTCAAGCTATAGTATATAAAATTAAGTATATATTATATAAAGCATATATCATGTAAATATAGAATATAATTATTGATTATAGATTGTTTTGTTTTTTTTTTGAATTCTATTTGTCCTCTTTTTTCAATTTCAAATAAGTCTATATTTAAAAAGAATTTCAAATTTTCTCTATCATTTGTTTTATTTATTGATTTATTTTTATTTTATTTTATTTTTTACTTAAGTGGAACTTACTCTTATTAGGGATAAAGTCCTTTAATTTGTACTGCAGAAATTCAGACCACCGATACGTGACTTCAAATCGGGTATCTATGTCGGCTATGATAATACTTACGGGAAGGGTAATAAAAAGGACGCCATTCGCAAGCACGTTGTATACAGGGAATCATTATAATCAAGTCTTTATGTAAGCAGCGAACCTACTTTCTTATCGAAATATCTACAAAAAACATACGATCTCATATTTATAAGATCATAATAGCAGACTATTCACATAAGCGCGGGATGATAACCCACTTATTAAGAGGAACTAATAGTGAAACGAATGAACGTCATTCCCGCGTATCATCATATATAAATCACAATGATATCAGGCCATCTACTTTTACATACGTATTACTCAAATACATTCCTGCTCTTTTTCTTTCTTTCTGCAGAAAGATACTTTACTTTGAAGGCCACTCTAAGTAGTCGCGATTGTAAAGCTCGCTAAGCTGCGCTATCGATATGATGGATAAACTCCCTAACGGTATTGTAACAAGGATACTTGTGTGTGTTCTTAGAGATTCAGGGTGCGTTCTATTTATTTGCTCAAAAGGAATATTCGATAAACACAGAAATTGATTTCACATCAATCCCTAAAATGCGCAGATACCGAAAACTCCATCAGCTACGAAAAACGTGTAAACTATGGAATAAACTCATTCCCATGGTCATTAACAAGGAATTAATTCTCAAAAACAAACATGGATGGACTCTTGAAATATTCAAGGTGAATAAATTTCGAGCTTTATATGTTTTAAAAAGTCTTTTCCTATCCAATTCGAAATCCAACTACAACTACACACAATTTTAACCTAGAGAAAATCAAGTCCTTATCTGTTCCTCAAAATACTCCATTTCAAGCTACTCTGTTATAATCCCAGGACATCCTTTGTTTACTTCAGTATCAGCTCATCATTACACGATTCCTCGATCTTCGAGCTAAGAGAAAACAAATTGTACATGGAATTTTCTGCGAATTCAAGATACTGCTTCACAAACTTTTTCATTAAATTGAGAGACGGGCAGAACTTGTATAAACGCAAGGACGGCGTTTACTGCATATATTATTCTAGGGATAATGAGAACTGGAATATTGGAGAGTGGAAAATTCACGCGAAAACTATGTTTAAACTATTAGATTTGTGGAACTTGTGATGAAAATTTTATTTATCTACAGTATGTACAGTATGTAATTACTTTGAAAATGACGGTATGCGTACTTGTTAATTCACGTGATACGAATACAGTATTTCGTGATTGACTGATAATTTAACGTGGACATACTGTAAATGCTAGATGGGTAACTCAAAACAATGCTAGTTAAATCCAACTTCGGGAATAAGGTTCGGAAAACTCAAAATAGTAATATGAAAAGAAGAAAAGATTGATTATTTCGAACCTATTGAAACTCACTTTTGCGATACCAATCATGCAAATCGCCATTAATAGAGAATTTATCGATCCAATGCCGTGGTACTGTTCGTCTAATTCGATTTCCTTTAGGTACAACATAAGATTTAACATCATTGGCTTAAAATTTCTCATTAAAGCAACATGTAGTATTAATCTTAGTTCATGGAAATTCGGTGCTCAAAATACTTATCAAAGAAAGAAAGATTAACTTTCCGGCTGCTATTTTGCCTCTTTGTGTAACGAGTATATTTGGATAATTTAGTCGTGTAAGATGATTTTGTCGTTGTCGCGGAAGATCTAATTATCCGCATAATTTACGAGAATATGCCTTTTTTTCTCGTACGCCCTTGTACAACATTCTCACTTCACAGGATCTTTGTTGCGACCCATTTGCTTAAATAATCTGAATTCGTATTATCTCATCTCTTATGAGCTACCATTTAAATTTTCACGCGTATCATCCTAATTTGTGAACGTGTTCTCATTATAACGTATCGTGATTCCACTTACCATTTGGCTTGGCTTAGTATCGGAAAATAATCTTAAACTGGTTTAAAACCGGTTTTAAAATCTCAAATTTCGCGTTACTGCTCTTGGTTACACAAAGGAAAGGTTCCATTATGATATTATGATCTAGCATTATGCAGCATTCCGCGCAACTTATGTATTGCGTACGGTCAGCGGAATAAATCATTCTTTACAAAATCAAAATTTCGGTTAGGGAAAATCAAATTTCCATGCCAAACTGTATATATGACTGATGAGTCTAGAATTTATTCGAATAAGTAGAAAATGTTTAACTCCATCCCACCTTGGTTCTCTTATGCCTCTCTTGTCCTCCTCACCCTTCCTCTCGTTTACCACATAATCTATAATGTATTTATCAACCCCCTTAAGAATATTCCTGGTCCAAAACTTGGTAAGGTCACAGGACTATTGGTTACTTTTCGAAGGCCAGGAGGACGATTATTTGAGTGGTTATATCGTTCTCACTTGAAGTATGGCGAGGTGGTGAGAGTTGGGCACAATGTCGTGATATTCTCCAACCCTGATGTTGCAAAATTTATATTAACTGCAAATGTAGGTATCACTTTGTGTATCTATCTCTATCCGTCATCCGGGAATCCAACTAATTTCGTTAGTTATAGAATATATCTAAAACCGATACGATTGCAAAGATCCGAAATCATCTCAATTTGTCGACTTTATTTACGGCAACGTGAGTCACCTGTTCATCTATCCACTTTAATATTTATCACCTGACTAAAATATACGAACATAATAGTGACAAAGCATTTCATAGACAACGTGTAAGCAAATTTTCGAGATCCTATTACTTTGAACAATAAAGAGCTATACCGTATATCAATTTAATCTTCTGACTTCATTTAGAAACGCCTCTTATCACCTGCATTCTCTGTAAAATACGTAGCCTCCCTTGAACCATTGATGCAATCCTGCATCAAATCTTTGATTCAGAAAATTAATGCTTCCCTCTCCCAGATTCCGTCGAAATCCGAGAAAATAAAATTTTCAAAATCTGGTTTACCGCTAATTAACATCTATAAATTGGTGCAGTCATGTGCACTCGACATTATTGGTGAAACATCTTTTGGCAGTTCTTTTAACATTGTCGAAAATGACGACCATCCGTTACCGAGGAAGGCTTACGAAGATTTAAGGAGACGGGTGTTGCGTCTCTGCTTTCCTTACTTTAAGTTTTTATTTAAAAAAGATCCTTATGCCTATGAGGTAGATGATGATTTTCCATCTTTGTGAAGTGCATACTTACCATATCTACATCCGATTTCAAGTGATACTACTCTCGCCCTATTTGAATTTTAGTTCATCAAGGAAATCATAAGACAACGAATATCTTTAAACGCAAAGGGTGAACGTCGTAGCGACATTTTGCAAATTGTGATTGATCACTACAGCGATTCATCCACCAAGGATACACAATCGATGACCGAACCCGAAATGATCGAACAACTACTAGAATTCATTTTCGCTGGCAGTGATACGAGTACTTTTACCATCAGCATGGTATTGATTACATTGTTGCAACATCCAGAAAAATTAGAATGTCTGCGAGCGGAACTAGACTCGGCATTCAAAGTTTCACGAAATAATGCACCTCGGGTCAACACTGACAAAACCTCGGATGACACGCCAGATCCATTATTCCCTGATCATGATACTCTGAAGTCTCTCAAATATTTAAACGCCGTAATCGACGAAACCTTGCGTTTATTCCCTCCGGCGACCTCTGGTCTTTTTCGTCAAACCGTGGACAAGGAGACTCTCATCTCTGGCTATGTTATCCCGGAGAAAACTATCGTGTGTGCATCATTATACTATTTTCAGCGATCAAAAGAGATTTGGGGTGCGGATGCTGACGAGTTTGTGCCGGAACGATGGTTGAATTCGGAAAAACCGTTATCGCCGCAGAGCGACGCTTCGTCCACGACGGATAAGACGAAGTCGTGGAACATTGAATCCGCAAGAACAAATGCCTATTATCCATTTGGTGGCGGTTCAAGAATTTGCATCGGATATAATTTCGCGTTGATGGAGATTCGATTAATGCTCAGCGCGTTGATAATGAATTTTGAGTTCGAGGTGGTTGAGGGTCAGGATTTGCAGATGGTTCAATTAGTGGTGCCCTCTTTAAGGAGTAAGAAATATGATGTTGGAGTGCAAAGGAGAATTTTGAAGGAAGAATTAAGATAGGAAATGTGTGTCTTGGTTATACTGTATTATAATACTAAATACTATCTGAAATGGATAATAAATTATGGTTTCAAATGAATGCTACTACAAAATAAAATTTGTTATTACTATTTTATGCGAAATAATAATTGTGAAAGATTGTTTCAATAAGAATACATTTTTCCTTGAAAATTAAAAATTTTAAATTATTACGATAATAATTTTTTTTACTTGAATTGAATGTTGAACTAAAATTATAAATGTAATTAAATATAATTAAAAGCTTGAATTAATGTGAAAATTGGGTAAACTTGATATTTCTATTTTTAACTATATAAAGTGATTTTCTTTTTTTTTTTTTTTTTTTTCGGGTGAAAGGTGTGCTAATAGCACATGTTTATTAAGTAATTAAATCCATTACATGACTATAACAGTCCATCTAAGTTAACCCGCCCCTATCACCTATAGCCTTACCCAGTTATACCAACTTACACCCAGTAGGTAAATCCGCATTCCAGGTTGGATCTTTAGGAGGTGAAAATCTTACCACTAGTTTTAAACCATCTAACCTAATCTAGACCCTGGCATTCTACCCCTTACTAGGACCCATGATAATTTTCTATACCTTACCACCTCTTAATCACATCTTTGGTTCCCACAGCTGCGAATGGATCTAAATACATCAGTGCACTACCTAGTCAATGTTTCAAGAACTTCGTCCAATGGTTGGCACACGCTACCAAACCTAGGGGTTATTCACCAATAGGGATGTGACTTCTGAATCTCCTAGTAGACTTATCCATTGGGTTTTCGATTGGTGTTAGCTGCCAAATCTAGGGGTTATTTACCAAGCAAAGCGTAACTCTTATATAGGAATAGCACCAGTGATTCACTTACATCACCTGTTAAAGTTCCATCGACGATCCCTGAAGGGCTTAGTGCTTCATGTTACCAATCTTGGTGACCATCATGCTCCTATCAGATGATCGTCACATCACGATACCTTTTCTGAAGATCACAATCCCAACACCCACTGGACCAATGTGTGAAATGGCTTTTTATAGAAAATAGTATATTACAAGTTATGGCACCAGATACCATATTAATTCTATTCAACTGCCTTCATCAGAAGTTGAACTGGTATCTTGTGATCTGACCTGTGGAGCACTAACCACTGTGCTATAGATTCACAGGTCTTATATAAAGTAATTTTCAAATTATTTGATCAAACTATTTATTACTATCTTTTTTCTTTTCTTTTTTTTTTTTTCTTCACTTTTTTTTTTTTTTTTTTTTATAGATTTCAACTTGATTTTTTTAAAACTTGTTCCAATTGATTTTACCTTGTTAAATTTTATTTAAGTTTTATACTTTTTTGGATTTCTTAATTATTTTCAAATTTTATTTATTTATACACTTTTTTGAATTTGATATTTTTTACTCTCTAAATATATTAATAATTTTTGATATTGGATAATTTTTATTTTTAGATTTTACTATTGATTCTTTATTCTTTTTTATATTTTTTTTTTATTCTTTCTATTTTGAAATTTCTTTTGAATTATACTGTATATCCAATTTGATAAATCTGTTAATAATATTATATTATAAAATATAAATTATTATAGTATTATTTATAAGTTAGATGAAATGTTTAAATCAATTTTCTTTTTTGGTAATTTTCTTGAAAAAAGTGAAACATTTCAAACACACAAGGAAAACAACATATTCTTTGAATCAAGCTACCAAGTACTTTCAACACACATATAACAAGTTATCCAGAAACATCAAGGAAAGAGGTATACACTACTTTACTAACTTTTTTACTCCTTTTTCTTAAAAAAATTTTAGGAGAAAGAAAAAAGACTTGCAAACTGATTCACAGTCAGAAAAAAGGAGCCAATATTAACTTTACACAGCTTATAGCCAGGCCAGTGCAGGTTAACACTTTTCTTGACACTATAAGGAACTCAAAAAGCAACTAAGTCCACCTGATAAATCAAGCTGCTCCAGTTACTTAAAGGCCCAGAAGGATATTAAAGCTCCCTAAAGACAAGACAGTCTAAACGTACATACACACATAAACAACATATCTATTCCTTCTCTTGTCACGTAAACACGAACACGTAAAAACTAGACAAGCAAAACAAGCACACACGTAAAAGTAACAAGCAAAACACACACGTACACATATAACTTGTTATCTAAACAAGTTGATTTATACTCTACACAAGTACGACAACAACTCACAAAAGTAGGATAGGATTATCAATATAAACAAATAAACACACCAAAACAACAAACAAAGTTTTTCCGTATTACTGAATCAAACACATAAACAATAACAATCTTAAAAAGGTTTATCCGCGATCTAAAAATAGACTATCCATAAATACAAAAAGCATTCACGTGATCTATCAATAGATTTGAGCCAGTAAACATGAATAG